TCAGAGGGGGAAAAAGGACCCCTGCCCAAGGTGCAGAAGGCAATGTGTGCTTAGTGCCGATTCGGGAAATTGGGATAGGGGGTTGTATAATTTCTGGACGCAGTATTTCCCCAAGGAGGTCAAGGTCAAGCAAGCCGAGAATGAGCACGAAGTCGCGATGGAGCATTGGAAGAATATTCATGGCGAATGTGTTATTTCGTGAATATGGCTCTTTTTTATTTATTTATATACCTTTCTCTCTTTTCTGGCGTTTGGCCGGGGTTTTGTTTCTAGCTTTTTCTTTCTTTTCTTTCTTTTCTTTTTGATATCATACATAAATCCTTAATTGGGAATGAGAGGGTCGTGCTGGTCTCGCGGGTAGTGGTTTTCTTGGATTGGGTTGACTTGGGGTAGGGGATTTTCTCCTGCCAATGACTCGTGTTGAATGCTAGTGGACAGTAGGGTGGAGCGGGGGGGGGGGGGAAATCTCAGCTTGGAAGAAAGGGGGATGATGTTGGGGAGGTCTTCACTGTAGTGCGCTTTCTCATACGTTTTTGTTAATTCCCATAGATTTATTCTGGCGTTGGCATGAGACCCTTCAAAGGTCCTCTGCTGATGCAGTTTTTTTCTCGTGACCTTACGTTCCTTGCGATTCTCCTGTCGGTTGATGCTGTTTTGTCGGCGGGCGGGGGGATACGGAAAGCAGAAGGATATTTTAGAAGTCTAGAATACTATCTAATTTGGCATAGGCTATATAAGTGTGCACATATCCCCACTCGAGCAGGGTGGTTTGCGTGGATCACGGACTGTGTCTGCAAGTGTTCGAGAGCCTGGAGCCCCTCTGCGGATGCTTCCAAGAGACCTAGATCGGGTGAGATAGCCTTTGAAGCCCACTCCCATCCCGAATATTCAGAGGGCAATTGTTTCTCCACTAGAAGAAAGTGCTTTTGGAGGAAGACCATGCCGGTGCCTAGGGGAGCGGCGTAATATCGCAGGAAATTGTCAATGACTGCGAAGAGTTATCTGGGACTCGGGGGTCTATCAAATCTGCCATGATCTCTAGCGAGCTCAGGAATGTGTGATGGGTGGCTATGATACCACCAGAACCATCACCACCAACCTTTCAGCTTAGTCTAACATATCTGTCCGGGGGCACGCGGGGAAGGTGTTGGAAGAAGTGAAAGGCACCTATTATCGTTTCTTGGTCTAATGGCTCCAACACCCTGGACAAACTTCCCTTAGGACGGGCAGGATTTGCTATCGATAGTGCTGGATCTATAAGCGGGGGGAGGGAGGGAAGGAGTGATGTTTTGACTGACTCGGCTGTCTCTCGGATGCACGGGATATCCTCTGACTAACGTTAACTCTACGGGAAAATCGATAAACTTGATATCGCATATCGGTGTGAAAAGGGGATCATGATGCTTCCAGGATTACCTGATACGTGCCTCTTTGTGAGCAAACCCGCACTGCAGTTCTGTATGTGACAAGTCAGTATACTTTCGACCTCCCGTGTCTTCTTCCCTTCAGTGGCGATACGACGCCAACCGCTAACCGATATGTTGAAGCTTGACGCCTCCTACTTACTGTATTAAGGTCACTTGAAGGAATACGGACAGAGCTTGTAGTCATGATTAACCTAGAGGACTTGAATTCCAAAACTAGTTTTGGGGGTGGAGGGGGTTTCTGTTTTTATGGATCGGAATATGCTCCCAATAGAGAGGTTGGGGTGCGCCATCAATATTAATGGCATTTTCAAGATCACCTAATCTAACCTCGAGGAACTGTCACCATACATGGATGAAATCGAGCACCATTGATTGGAAATGTTCATCCAGCGCGATTGATCGAGCGGGATGTTGCTGTAGCGCTGGGATCATTACGGTTTTTGAAAGCTAGCTTATACAAACTTCCTCTTTCGCGTGGGTTTTTGCAAAAGAAAACCAAAAAAGGGGGGGAAAATCGTCCACGGATTCCTTTCCTTGATCTTCTGGCAGGACGTGGCAATGACCAAGCGTGTACTGTACTGTACTGTACATATATTATCAAGGTAATGGGAAATCATGTGCGCTACCGCCCCCCACACCCTTGATTAAACTGAGTCTCCCAAGAATGAACATTTCCCTCCTTCATGCGGCAGCGACCGAGCCGGACACCGTATTTTCCGAACTGGTACCTGCCACGGGGGCTTATATTTAATATGATATCATAGTTATCTTTAAAATTTTAGAATTTCGGTGCGGTTTGGCAGCGCATTGTTCGAAAACTGACCAATTGTGGCCGTTGAAAATATTTCGCCTGAATTATGTAAATTGTTTTTTTTTTTTTGGGCCTGCTATTGGCTACAATACTAATCTACATTTTCGTGTGATATCATAGATGGACTAAATGCCACAGCTCCAAGAATTGGCGCGTCTTTTTGTGATAGATACTCCGGGGGCATGGAAGGATGCCGATTCTTGGCTCGGAGGCACGAGCACACCGTGCTCGTACTATACGAATAGGCCGTGCTAGACGGCCCGTTCATAGTGTAAACTAACCCTCGGAATTTGTTCCTTGCCAAGCCGTGAGTGACATGCTGTGATGCTGATCTCTCCTGCGACTGATGAAATGCTACATATCGTAAAAAGACTCATAAATCCCAAAGCGGAACCAAGGGCGGGTCGTTAGGTTTGATTCAATGCTCATGAAAACTGAGATTCTTGTAGTATTTCTGTCCTTGAAACAACCTTTCTATGAAAAAATGACCAATCAAATACTCAATTCTGGATTCTTTCGAGTTGAAAATAACTCCAGAGCTTCCAACAATTAGCCATGATTAAAGCCACAGCCACCTCACAACGAAACTTAATACTGAAGTTGCCGCCTTCTGAATGACCAACAGATAGAGTCCAGGATCCCCTCCATCTAAAACAACTTTAGCGATGTCAATCGAATATGTCAGGTTAGAAATCATGGAAGAGATGTTCACAAACTTTCTAGAAATGCCAATTTTCGGGACCGAAGCGATTACGGGGCCATGGGTTGCGGATCCGCTGGAGGCACCGGGAACCGCTTCCGACCTGATATCTACATTGGAGAGCCTGCCCCTGCCAGAGTCCCGGCGTTTGGACACCCCCGAGGGGACGGACGAGGGACTGGAATGCGGAATATGTTTGGTCAACAGAATCGAAATCCGGTTCAAGGAGTGCTCTCACGGAGCATGCTCTGCTTGCGTTGTGGGAATTTGGAAATCTAAGGTTGGAAGGTACAATCTTCTACCCTTGCACTTTCCTTGCCATCTCTGTCGCGCTGAGGTCCATCGTTTGGGCGCCTTGACCCACGATTGTGGTGGCAGTGGCGGTGATGGTAGTAGTGGCGGTGATGGTGGTAGTGGCGGTGATGGTGGTAGTGGTGGTGATGGTGGTAGTGGCGGTGATGGTGGTAGTGGTGGTGATGGTGGTAGTGGCGGTGATGGTAGTAGTGGTGGTGATGGTAGTAGTGGTGGTGATGGTAGTAGTGGTGGTGATGGTAGTAGTGGCGGTGATGGTGGTAGTGGTGGTGATGGTGGTAGTGGCGGTGATGGTAGTAGTGGCGGCGATGGTGGTAGTGGCGGTGATGGTAGTAGTGGTGGTGATGGTAGTAGTGGCGGTGATGGTGGTAGTGGTGGTGATGGTAGTAGTGGCGGTGATGGTGGTGGTGGTGGTGATGGTGGTAGTGGCGGTGATGGTAGTAGTGGCGGTGATGGTGGTAGTGGCGGTGATGGTGGCAGTGGCGGTGATGGTGGTAGTGGTGGTGATGGTGGTAGTGGCTGTGATTGTGGTGGTGCTGGCGGTGTGAGTTTGCACCCTGAATGGGTGGGTATTAGGGAGTGGGTTATGGGTTTGTCGGAAGAGTGGGGTGGGTATGTTAGCAGAGCTGATGAGCTGCTTGGAAATACTCAGTAGGGGGGGCTCGGGGGCTCTAACAATGTATAACTTTCTCGTTAGCAGTGTTAGTAGGTATAGGTACTGGTTATCTATACGAGAGCTAGGGTGTGGGAGAGTCAGTAGACAGGTCTTGGCTGTTATGTATTTCACCTTATATGGGCGGGGACGGAGCAGGGAAATACAACGGCTGGTGATCCTCCTTCATTCGTCCATACACACACACTTCGACACACCGCCAGTCTTACATTTCTGAGGGAAAGAGGAAGATGGCGAGCTAGGGTGAGTTGGGCATACTGCTGGGGATATAAGACTTTTAGTTCGATTAATTCTTTTTCCCTTTAATCTCCATAATGGAGGAAGGAGTTGTCCCATTGTATATGCGGTACATTACGAGATCCGAGACTTGCATAAACTAGAGAGTAATACAATTCCCTTTCTATGGTATCAATAGTTCCCGTTTTGATGATTCATCATTATAACCCTTTTTGTCTCTTATTCCATCTATTGGGATGGAAAGTCTGTGGCTTCACTATGGTTTTGAGGAATTATGTGGAGCTAGGGTTATACCTGTGCTCAGAACTTGCTGGGTTATTGTGCGCAGTGCTCACTAAGGTACTCGAACGCCGTAGTGGAATTAAAAGTGTAGAATAGGTAAAAGGAAAAGGAAAAGGAGCGGTTCCTCTCCCCTTCCGCATGCCGCCCCGAAAGAAGTACCCTAGATCTCAGGCTTACTGTGCAGCCATTTAAGTTACTCGAGTACTCCTCCAATGTGATACAGCACAGCACAACAGATCGAGGGGATTTGATTTTGCGCTTTAGCTTGTGCTTGTGATAAGGCTGCTGGAAATCTGGACACTTACACTGCGAGGACTTGGCTAAACTGCTTTATGATATGTCTTATTATGATACGTCTTATTATGCACTGTCCTCTAGAAAAAGCCGCGTGCTACCCAGGCCATTTGGTAAGTACGCTAACTTTACCCTTATGCGCGCAACCCAACGTTGCGCTTTATTTTCTGATTTTGGGAGCGGACTCACAGCCCGCCGGAAACGCGGCAGCCCCGGCTAATCAAAAGTATTTTCTAGGCAGCACTTACCCCGCGTCCAACGGGCAGCCCTGGCGGGGCACAATGGTAACCGAAGAAGAAAGGCGAGTCCTTGCAAGGCGCCTGAGCGAACAAAAAGCTCAGAGCAAGCGGGCGCCGGCCCTCGGGGTCGGAGTAGACCTTGCTCGTGTGCAGTACTGGACCACTTGGGCTAGAAAGTGCGATTTTCCGCCCTAGCCCCTACATCCCGACAACAACAAGGCACCCCCCGGAAAGTCGGGATGAATGGAAGAGATAAAGAAAGAAGACAAAAAAGAGGAGATGACGAGAATCAACGGATATCTATGACTTGGTTGTGAATTCAGAAGACTCCTGCAGAATCTTCGCATGGCCAGGAGTTGGGTGTTATTGTATTTTACTAGAGATCTCGGATCCGCTTGGAAGGGGCAAATCGCTTCCAACTCCCTCGAGACCTCGAGGAGCCTTTCTAGTGCCATGTTATGCTGAACCGGCCTCGAGTGGACTCCCCGAATTGGGCCCCAGGAGGTTCAAGTTGGTCGGAAGCAAAATTTCCCGATTGGGCTGTGGGCGAACACAACGGCAATCTCGTCTTTGGATTCTTTTTTTCCATACAAAGTGGTGCTTGGAGCATACGGTTGGCCTTTGGGATGTTTTTCTAGGATATGGATACCCCCTCGGTATATATCCGAGCTGTGATTTGAAAAGTAACCCCAAAGTTAGCTAATATATCCACCAGGTTTAATGAACTTCCTTAGACTTTATCTGGTCCTTAGACTTGGCTTTTGGTGTATCATAAGAGTGTTATAAAAGACCTCGTAAAGTTAAAGATATCTTATGTTGTAATCAGTGATAATGATTCTTATTTATTATGGTGTGTAGGGATATATACAAGTGTGACTTTTTGAGGGAAAGGAATCATAGTATCATAGGAAAGAGAAAAAATGTGGAGTTTTTTTTCTTCCGGTTCCCCTTACAAGTGCCTGCGGGCTCCCAAGGACTGGATTCTTTCGGTCAGGCCAATGATTGGCTTGGACTGATGGGATGGCAGGAAAAAACTCTGATATCGACTAGTACAAGTAGTCTACTGCTGCCAAACTATACAAGCTTAAGCTTCCCGTGCTTTGGGCAGGTGAAAAGAGGTAGGATATCATTTTTGCTAAAACGCCGGTAATCGTAGCTGTGTTTAGATAATAGGGTAAGTGTGTTTTTGGAAGGGGATTTCGGTGTAGTACGCTGGGTAACGGGTGCTGGGTGCAACACCGATAAATGGCCTTTCTCACTCAAACATTTGATGCTAGTTTACCTTATTTTCAATCTGAGATGCAAGACTGGTCTCCGGGTCCATGGGTGAATGGGCGTCCTCGGGGAGCTTTCATGGCATTGCCGATAGCGATTGTTAATGGCTGGACCAGTACAGACTTGTGCAACGCTGAGGCCTTGTGTTGCCGCTCCCTCTCTCCTCGAGGTCTAAGAAGTTCCCTCGAACACCACGAGGAACCAGATTCTTGTTACTCATGATCCCTCTCTATCTCTCCCAAAAAAAAAACAGTTCAGATGATAGGGTGTAGGGCAGATGTCGTCAGGGTACCAGCAAGTCCCTGATAACATCAACCCCTTTAACATGCCGAACCACAACCACAACAATATTGTCAACTTCATTACAGCAGCAGACGCCGAGGGGCGTTGGATTCTGCAGTATCGCCACTTGAACCGCAATAGCAGCACCAAGGTGTGCGAGCCGATTGATAGCGTGGTAAAGTGGGAACTAGAAACCAGCGGGCTCAGGAAATGGAGTGACTCGGAAGATGGTTGCGTTGAGCCAGTGTTGTTCTATTGTGGGAGTCTTGGGGTGGGGAAAACGTATCTCAGGAAGGGGGTCTCTTGTCTGGGGACAGGCAATGCGGATGTCACTGGCGATCAGTGGACAATAGCTCTTTGGTGACTGATAACCCCTGCGATCGGGTTGGAGGAAAGGAAATTGGCACTCTACTGGGATTTCCTTGTCCAACAAGAGTGGTCCACCACAAGCATGTTGGGCGCCTTCCTCAAGAAACTTGTTAGCAGAGGAGGAATCCCAGAGCATATACGGGAAGCTTTTCGGACGCCAAGGAAGAGTTTGGTGGCCTAGGTCTCTGGCTTCCCGATTGGGTAGAAATTGTGAAGAAAACTATTGCACCGCTACCGCGGGTGTTTATACGCTTTATACGAACCCGCTCCGAAGTATTGACGGAAGCTCCTTAGGTCAGTATCATACGAGAAATCGCGTGTCACGAAACGCGCAAATATTCCTTACGGGGAGGCCCCATATCGACAACGAAATCGTGAGATGTTTTAGCAAGGTTGCTAGGATGCCGGTTGGTCCTACCCGGGATGATATTGAGAGCTATCTGTAGACGGGTCTGGACGGTAACACTGACCCTAATGCAATAGGCGACGAATTTCGGGTAGATATTATGAGAGTCATTCCGGAGATTTCGGGAGTGTAATCAAGGATATCAGGCACATTCCCGATACAAATTTGAGCCAATTTGAGCTAATGATATCTAGTTTCCTTGTTTCTCTAAACATGCAATCCTCGGCGAGATCGCTCTCCATCAGAGGAAGAAAAAGCTTGAGGATATGACCAAAGGGAAGGGTCTGGGTGATACTTACACAGCGACCTTATCACGGATGAAGATGCAACAGAGGAACAGATCAAAACTCGACATAGACGTTCTAATGTGGGTATCGCATTTAGAGCGGCCATTACACGTTGATAGTTATGCCGCTCCCTGGGGGTAGAAGAACGATCTACCTACTCGAATATTTGTAATATTTCTGCGGTAGAAAAACTGCGAGTGCGCTCTCTGGGTCTTGTCACGGTCGGGAAATCCTCGTCTATTGCCCACCTTGTTCATTACACTCGGCAAGAGTACCTTTCCCATAATCCCAATCTGTTCATTACGCCGCACTTAGTGATCGCTGAGATCTGTTTGATCTACCTCAACTTGAGGGGCTTTTCGCTTACCCTTCGTTCTCTCCCACCAACTACCCCGTTTGTCAAATATGCTTTTTGTTACTGGAGTGCTCATTCTAGGCGGGAAATCACTGAAAGATGAAAGCGCTTGCATTGAAACTACTCGATGGTTATGATAAGCGCATATCTTCGAAGTTGTTATTGCATGGGATGCGCCTCCGGGACGCACCTTTCAATCAGGAAGGGGGGCTAGGGGATTTACAGGGCTTCACGGTGCAGCATACCTCGGATGCGTGGGGATAACAGTTGCTTTATTGGAGATGAATAAATGGGATGTGCAGGCAACCGATTTCAATGGTAAGGTAGCAATTTTCTAGGCTTCTCGGAGGGGGCATGAGGGGGTCGTGAGAATACAGCCAGGACGGAACGGCGTCAATTCCAGCACAGTTGACATCACGTATGGCCAAACACCGCTCTTGCTGGCTGCTACGAATGGGTATGAGGAGGTGGTGAGGACACTGCTGGAACGGAGCGGCGTCAATCCCGACATGTTTGTAACCATGTTCGGCCGAACACCGCTTTCGCGGGCTCTCGAGAATTGGTGTGAGAGAATGGCAAAGCAGCATCACGAGCGGACGGATTTAATTCCCAGATATGTAGCAAACTTACCATCAACAGAACACCTCTCCACCAAGCCGCCAAAGGCGTTTTGAATCTCCTTCCAAAAGGACACGCAGGTTTTGATATCCAGCGATAAACTCGATAATTTTACCTCTATCTACGCTGTGTAACCTCTTAGCAAGGGAACAACCTTGACGAAACAAAATCCTAAGCCTACCCCTGATAGTTCTTCATATACTTATTGACATGTTACCGCAGATGTCAAACCTTTCCAGCATTTGCTTGAGTGTCCCGTTATCACAATGGTGCTTTCAAATTACCCTCTCCCCTTTGGCTTCTTTGTGATTGTGATGTTGGGATTTTGTTTTATCAGTTTTGCGCACATCCGTGACCTATTGACGCTTTTTATACTTCCTTCTTTCTCTACGCACGCCCATTTATTTACCTCCTGTTTCTTATAACCACCAGGTTAAGTTATTCTATGTCTGTCAATGATTGACTTTTTATTTATGATGCTCACGATATACACTCACAACCCAAACCCTACCGCCAGGCGAGTGATCATAGGTGAGTATGGTATAGCACAGCGTAGGCACAAGCTCGGGTTGGGAGTTGGGGCTTTGCAAGCCTACCGGTACGTTGATAGGCCAAGTCAGCTGAGCAAAAAACACCTGGGATGCGGTGAACTCTCTACGAACGATCCTTCGCGGAGTGAAAGATGTGAGAAGGGAACCCCCAAAAAATGAGCAGAAAAAATTGATGCTCTGTAATGGGTTTAAACTGGTTGACCTCTCATGAGCTTGGGCATGTCCAGAACTAGCTGGATAGCACTTCTTAGCGCTGAGAAATATTCTCATGGAAGGAGTGGGGGCGGGGGCGGGTGGGCTCGGTGGTAGCCTTGTACAATGGATTCAAGTTAAGCTTTCTGGAATATCACCTACAACTACAATATCCTTGGGTGGCTTCTAGACTTGCGGTTGGACTGGCTGCTTGGCATCTTTGCTTGCTTGTTTGCCTGGGCATGCAGTGCTTGCCGTGGGCCGGGCCCACGGGCCAGAGCAAAAATTAGGAGTATCATATGACTAAACATATGATATCATGTCTTCTTTCCTATATCATAAGGCGGTATCCGAGTCCCTAAACCCTGAGGTTATGCCTACAAAGGCTAAAGCGGTACAATATCACACCGGAGACATGATGGTTGATCTATACTATTCTCATAAGATAGTCACACGACTTCCATTCAGATATTATTATCTAAACACAAAAGTCAGTACAGAGATCCCACGTGAAACCTAGGTAACAAAGGTGTAGAAAACCGATGTTATGTCGTCCTTGTTCTACTTCGAGGCAAACTCCCCCCCCCCAACTGTTATAGAATTGATTTTTCATCTTAGGGCGAGGTTTTACAAAACCGAAAGGCCCGCGGGCTGGCCCGGCCCACGGCAATCACTGGATTGGCGTGGGGGTAGAGACACTGGGCTGGGTTGGGTTAGGGTATCTTAGACATATCAAGGGAGCCTACATGGACAAAAGTGAGCAGTTTGGCAGTGTGTTGTCTTGTCTGTTAAAGGCAAGCCTGGGTCTGGAGATTAGTTGGAATGTAGATGCATACGGCGCTCATATCTGCCCTGCCGTCCTTATCCACCCTGTCCGGGACTCCCGGGACTGTAGCCCGCCAGGACCCTGTGGGGTGCCCCGGACGGTTGGGGACACCGGCCATTCCATAGGATTGGTGGAAAATTCCTTAGCTGGCAATTCTGCGTTATCGTTTAGAGAGTTGCAAAGATTCAAGTAGTGTTGGTAGAAAATATCTTGATACTAAAATAATACCCGCACTCCACATCTCTACGTTATAGGGGTATTCACAAACTGGTAGTGTCAGACCATCCCTATCATATCAAAGTTTCTAATGTTCTACATAGTATTATACATTGTACTGTTAGGCTAATGGATTGAGAAAAAGATATGTCCATATTAAGTAACATGATGATAGTGTGAGTTGAATACATGACACTCAGAGAGTTGTCATCTGATACTCCAAATGTGCTATAGACATGTAGGTTCTAGAAGGGAGCTGGGGAGAGGTGTTGGCCCAGTAAATTGAGAGTCAGTGTGCAGTTACCCTACTGAGTCTGTGTACACCTCTTGCATGCCTAAAAAAAATTGTCAGTAAAGTGTGTGAAACAATCAAAGGGTAGAAGGTCAGCCTGTAGTCATATTAGGATATTCTGTAGTCTGTTATAACTAGTTCAAAGAGGCAAATTGAACAGTATATGGTAGGAGTCTTTGGGAGGTTAATAGTAGTTATATTGATATATCAGGAATCTACCTGTGTCTACTCTGGAATTTTGTAATTATCAGGCTATAATAAATCTGGTACAGTGGCTGAGCTATACTAGTACTAGTAGTCTTATAGTCTCATACTACTAGGATTAGGGGTATCTTGTATTAGAGCTTAGTAGAACTTGAATACATGTTTTTTTCAAGTACTATAGTAGAAGTAAATAGAGGCATGAGATGTTATCTAATAAATATAATCTGCTTGTACTACTTCTGGAGAGTTGTATTCTTATTAACTGATTCTGTCTTTTGGTAAATCTTGTTTATGAGTGACTTAGAGAGGAATTGAGTGCAACTCGCTATCTTCAAATCCTTTGAGATGTACAAGATGCATAGAATGTAGTAGAGAGACACTTTACACCCTGACATGGATTCTTTTTATTAAAATTTAATGGGAAATTTTTTTTTCACTGATATTTTTCTTGGCCTTTGGTGGCTTGAGCCAAGATTTTTACCCTCTCTCCTCTCTGACTTCATCCCTGACTCGGAAGCCTCTGTTGGTAAGGATAACATCAATATTATTCACCGAGACCTGTAACTCCTCTTTGGCCAATATCTAGGTCCTACCTTTTCGCTTCAGTGTACTGGGCACTCGATTTTGTAACATGCATCCAGGACATACTCCATCAGATTTGTTGTTCCGAACTGCACCTTAGAGTTCGGGTAGATGATGGTATTAGAATGCCTCTAATATATGGCGCTGCTAAGATAGTGCGCAGCAGTACGTGGGTGGTATTTGATCCTTTCAGTACTGCTTTGTGCATGGATAAGAGTCTTTTCCCGCTAATACCGAGATTCTTGTCACCGAAATTACCCTAACTATGTGAATGGTATTGGGCGGCGAACTGTACTAGTAGTTGGACCCCGAGGCGTCTCCCTTCTCAAGTGGTGAGAAGAGTTAGAACGTTGGTTCTAACTAAACCTAACTTCCCCGATGGCTAATTCGGATATTTCAATGCCGTTGAAGTTAAAAAATTTAATGCAGTTAATAAACTAGGATAGTGGTGACCTGATATATCTGTGGATTTGCGTTTGCCCTCCACGGAGCCAGACTACCCGATAGGGTGCCGAGAATGATAGGGTAGTGGGGACCGCTGCCACTCTAGGGTGGGTCAGCCCTTCCATTCATTCAAGTTAAGGGCCCGTTTGGTTGCGAAGGTTCCGTTCCGTTTTGCAACCCTTTTCCATATTAATATTATGATAATATTATTATAAAAATGGTCCTCCTTCCGCTTTGAAATGGTCACTTTTTATGGGATGACCTAACGGAACCATCGCAACTAAACAGGCCCTGAGTGTGATATGATACTGCGCCTTACCGGTCTCTCCTCCGAGGGAGGTGTTGGTCCTCCCTACCCTATCGAGTAGTCTAGTATGTCTATATCAACGCGTGACGTGAATCCTCTTTAATGATGCAATGTTATGACCATTATGATTTCGCTCCCGGGTTTGTAGTTTGTGTATAGTTGCCCTCTACGGTAGCTTTCATCATGGATGTTCGTAAGCAGGATCTTTGTCAGGCTTTCTCACATGTTCTTGGCTCGAGTGAAACATTCGGGTACTAATTACAACCGCAAGAAGTTACGCACATATAGCTATTACCGGGTTATCCGTTTGATCCCCGCAGGGTACTGACCCTGCAGCTACGAGTACAGGGCTGCCAGGTTCGGCGTCAGGATTGTCCACCATGTGTTCTTGGCGGGGAAATTTGGAGAACGTTTTTCCGCACGGACTAATGTAGGAGAGAGAGGACCCAACCACTATGATCCCTCACTTGATACTCGATTATGGCCACTTGATTAGAAGATGAAACGATTTTTAGGAGATGGCATTTCGCTAATACGGGTAATCGAAGGTTTTGGGCCATTGTACGCGGCTGAGTGATGCAGTGGAGTCTACGGGAATCAGATGTAAGCATAGTGGAATAATTTCATTCCCGCCCTCTTCCCCAAGCCGCCGGGAGTACCCATTTCACCGGGCGTGACCAGCTGGCACCCTGAACCATGCCCCACACTGCTCAGTACCGTACGCACTGCCGGTAACATTCTACTCTCTGTGCCACGTTTTCCAGAACAATTGTTACTAACCTTAAACCTGGACGAACTAAGCAACCTCAAGACTTAAGTTCTTGATGCATCCAATCTCATGCAGCACATAAATTTAAACTTTCTGCACTAGAAGAGGGCTTATTCAAATACTTCTCTTGTGGGATTAGATTATATGATTGGTTTCTCATGAAACAGGGCAGGGAACTCATTAAACGTGGCGAGCGATGATGGAGGACCTATTTCCCGGCCATACAGAAAAGGCCGGGAGAGCGTCTTCCAGGTTCCAATGAGTCTAGCTTGGCGACCCTGTAGACACAGTGCATGCTGATCTTGCCGTAATTTGAGGTGGCGAAACAGCTGATTATCTTGAACTGTTCTATTGGTGGATGGATGGGTGATGTCTTGTCTCTTGAAATCCTCCGTCTGTTTACTGGCAAGGCATTGTCCCGGCTGCCGATTAATCTCACGACTCTAGCCTTTTCCTTCCGCATCTACTATTGTGTCCAACTGATTGTTGGGAGTTTAACGGATCACAGCCACCGATCACATGGGACGGTGGCATACTACAAACAACTACTACTTCGATTAGTGGGAAGGTGCGGTAGGCAGGCCACATTACCATGCTAGAATGGAAGCGGCTCTCGAAGGGAGTACTAGCTCATTCTATCTGCTCTGAAACGATACTTTGTTTGCACGAAAGAAAAAACTGGTGGTATCATGCCATTACCATTACATGTCGGGGGGGGAGTGAAATATCAGCATGGGGGGTGTTTTTCCTGAACAGGAGAAATCCGTATCCAAAGTGATACTTCACGAATCCCCGATTGTCATTTCACTCGGCAGTCTGAGGATACAAGTCCGGGAGCGGATCCGGAACCCTCATATTCCTGCCAGGCCTTATCATACTAAACCGGAGGATATTCGACCAAGACAGTGCATTCCAACAGGAATCCCCTGTTTTCCGCTACCTCCGCCGCATTCTGATTTTGTGATAGCCCCAAACTAGCCAAGGTATCAGTGTAATATGGGATAAAGCTTTGGGAATAAGAGCACTTGCGGAGTACATTATAAGTAGGGCCCCAAGAAACCGGTGACCATCCTTACTGCCGGTCTACCAATATTCGAATTCTCAGTGAAGAAAATGGCGAAAATACCCATCCTCAGTTTAAAATTCACACCGACATCCCCCGATACTGGGTTTCTGGGGGACAGCCTAGACATCGGTGACGAGTTTAGTTACGAGCAGATAATGTCTGGCTGGAGCTTTATACCGCTGGGCGACGACCAAAATTACAATCATCAATATCCGGGAGTAGGAAGGGCCATGAATCTTAGCACTCCCACGCTAACGGATATCGCGCATCTTTCCTTTGAGCAATTCAGGTCAGGGAATTGGAGCTTCAATCGGCGGCAAGGGACTCAGTATCCACGCCAGTCAGTCTCCCCAGAGGAGGCGCGCGAGTACAAATTACGCCCATTATCGTTCCAGTCACAGCCGGAGCGGGCAAGCGCTCTCACAAGAGCATTTTCCGCAGTCAGTAGAATCTCATGGGGGTTTCCGGGGGACTATGGACCGCCACGGACAATTGAGGATTTGGAAAAAGTGTTGGATACAGACTACGAAGTGAAATGGGATGGGCCGGATGATCCGAAGAATCCAGTGAATTGGAGCCTTCCACGGAAGATTGGCATCTTGTTCTTGATCTCAATGCAATATCTCATGGTGTATGTCGAATCCCATTCATATCCATCTTATATTCGAGGCAAGCACTGACCGGAAGCCATAACTTTAGTGTATTCTATTCGACATCCTACGTCTCTGGAACCCGTGGAATGATGAAAGAATTTGATATCCCACATAAAACCAGCGTGTCACTCGGTTTGACAACATACCAGTTTGGGCTTGCCTTAGGCCCACTGCTGTTGGCCCCCATGAGCGAGCTTTTTGGGCGAAGGCCTGTTTACCAGGTCTCCATGAGTTTATTCTGCATATTCATTCTACCGGCTTGTTTTGCAAAAAACTTGGAAACAATTCTCGTCTCCCGGTTTTTCGCGTACGTTCTGTCACCTTCCAGCTTGCCCTTACATAATCTTCCCGTGGAGTTTCTTATATTGATAGGGGACCCATAGTGCGCTCGTCGGATCCGTATCTCTTTCCAACTCCCCCGGCTCACTGGGTGATCTTTTCAGCGAGAAGAGCAAAGCGCTCGCGTTCAGCATATTCATGATTGCTCCACTCGAGGGTCCCGTCATCGGACCTCTACTCGGCGGTTTCATATACGAGGGCCTTGGGTGGAAATACATGAATTATCTCACGCTCATCTTTTCAACTGCCCTCCTAATTGCTGGGTACTTTGTCCCCGAGACTTATGGCCCAGTTCTGATGCGCAGGAAAGCGGCCATGCTACGGAAGAGAAAGAAAGACGAGAATTACATGTCAAGGTATTGCTACAAGGTTGGGGAAGGGGATATGTTAACCCTTGTGAAGTTGAACATGAAGAGGCCGTTATCGATGCTCTTTACTGAGCCGATTTGCGTGTTTTGGGCTTTGTATATTGGTGTTCAGTATGGGATTCTCTACCTCAATTTTACGGCATATCCAATTGTCTTCCAAGATATCCGGGGGTGGGCTCCCGGTATCGCTGGATTGTCATTTCTAGGTAATCAGCTTTCCTATATTTCGTGCGTCACTCGGACTGACGCTTTATAGGTCTGGGCTTGGGCATAATAATTGCGGTCTGCATGGACCCTCTCAACAATAAACTAGTCTCCCTCCACAAACCCGACCCGGAAACCTCCCTGCCAATACCCGAATCCAAAATCCTCATTGTTTGTCTAGCTGGCATCCTCTCTCCCATTAGCCTCTTAATGTTTGCCTGGACCTGTTCCCCGACCTCGATCCATCCGATCTGGCCAATCCTTAGCGGTGTCCCCTTCGGCATATCGAACACATTGATCTTTATGCACGGGAACGCATACCTCCTCTCCTCGTACGACCTCTACGCGGCAAGTTGTCTTGCTGGCTGCACCGTATTCCGCAGTGTACTCTGCGGGCTCCTACCGCTCGTGGGACCGAAGCTCTATCAGGATTTGGGTGCCAATATGGCGATGAGTGTGGTGGGTATTCTGGCGGCGGTTTTGGCGCCGATCCCTTGGGGGTTCTATAAATGGGGGAAATGGTTTCGTGCGAGGTCGCCGATGCTGATAAACATTCAGGCGGAGAAGGAGCACAGAGAGAGGCAATTTGCCGTGGATGGTTAGGGACCAAACATAGGTTTTTTTTGCTTAATTTTCGGGTTTAGATACTGCGCATAGCGGGGTTGGGATGTCATTATTTTGAGATTTTGAGATTTTTTTTTCCTCGAACATATGATCTTCGTTGTATCTATATTTTTCTGAAGGGAAACGTCTTCCTTTTTCTTTTGTCTGTCGGACCGCAGTTGTGAGCAAGCATTGAAGGTATAATATAATAGACTTTACCTCAATAACAACCTTACTTTCTCTAGCTAAATATTTTGATGGGGGTCTTCAGTTCAGTCTACTGAGTCCAACCCCAAACTTTGAACACACTACTGCATAATACTCTCTCAAACCTGCTCCAAATATTCTAGACATCACATGACTAATCCTCAAGCTTGTGTCACCCGTTTTTGTACCCGCCTGGTCAAATTTTGGTCGGCTGGGCTGAGTGGAGAAAGCTCAACCTGGGATGGACTCGTTGGGCCGCTCCTGCACTTCAAACAAGCGAAACAAGGCCGGCTGTCGGCAAGATAGCCCGAAAACCTGCCGGTCCAGAAGTAAGGACTATCTTGCCGTACCTGTGGTTGCAGGTTGGCGAATACCACGAGATAGGAAGGAGGTGCGAGGTCACTCCCATCGCACTTTTGGACATGCATGGACATAATTGCTTACAAATCGCTAGGATCATCACTTACACTTTATAGTTCTTATTCACGGACCTTACTCGCGGCCTCCGAAATACCGGTAGTCTAATTGTCCCGCAGAATATCGTCCGCGTGATCCCATGTGTTGAGTTACTGTCAAGCCCGTGATGGCGGCATCGTGCTTCCGTGCATTTTTCTTCTTCTTCCTTCCCCTCCACTTTCCACTGCTGAACAAAAATTATGCTATGCTATCGGGCCGTATTTGCCCCGGCTTACTCCAAAACGCGTCGGATCCCATTCGTGCTGTGGGGGAATTGACAGAGCACGGTACATCCTGGTATGATACTAAATTTGCCCCCATGTTTTGTGTTCTGCTGTATGTATTCATTGTCGAAGCACCGCCGGGAAGGCATACGGCTACGGACCACGCAGCTATCGCTGCGCCAGAAATGGCGGGGGCCGGTAGTACTAGTACTGTATTGTACTGTACAAGTTTGTGGTCACGTTAGGGTCCGGCTCCAAAGATCTGCTCTGGTACTGTAGATTTGGAACCGATACTTAAAAACTAACGATCGTGAGGAAATCACTGGAATGCTGTCGATGGTAAGGGGTTTACTGGCAGAATACGGTACTTTATCGCCTGCCGTCGATGTGCTCGAGTACTGTACTGCACTGTACTATTACTCGGGTAATGTGGGATAAGGTGAGATTTCATGTTGCCCCATGGGATGCACCGTCGTTGAGGTGTAGCAGGCTAGCAGCATCGAATTATACTTGTATTAGGTTACCCTAGTAAAGCGGAACCGGCATAGGGCCAGGTTAAAATCCAGATTGGTAACAGTAACCGCCCAGTTATCGGTACCGTACTTGCGTAAGGAATATATTATTTCGAGACACAAAGTTTGACCTCACACACACCAAGACATCGACCGTTCTTTAGACACATGGGATTGTGAGGAGGAAGAAAAAGAAAAAAAGTATCATATCATAGCAGGAAACTTTTGGAGCGACACCCTGAAGAGAGGAATAAGTATTTTAATTTTTAGCATTTGCAAATGTTACTCTTCAGTATTCTTTACTCGCCAGAAGGTATTATTATTATTCGTTTTCTTGTTGGATTTCTGGGCTTGGCGGGAGCGATGAAAACTAGTGGTCTCGGGCGTGCGTACAGACATTCTTGATCAGACACTACAACAACTCCTAACACAGTGATAACTTCTATGATACCCCAATAATTAAGCATGCTATTCTCCACTGGTTTCGGTGTTGTGAGGGTCAGTGGCCATGCCTTACAGTACGGTGGTTAACTCTTGTCATTGGTGGTCGCGTATGGTACAGTACTCGTACAGTACAGCGCAAACCCTGCCCCCCAACATATTACTCCACGGCATACTTCTTGCACAATACCCAATTCCCGGGTACCACATCACACTCCACGGGGAATGCATTCCAGAGTATCTGCCCTAACGCTTGAATAAGCCCCGGCCGGGAAGACACAACGCTCCACAGCCAACGCCACAAAATTTCACATCCCAGCATCTCACACTCATGTCCGGGGTGTCGGGGCGGGAGGATGACTGCGCCTCTTGTTTAGAGTTGAAGTGCGGCGTTGGGTAACCCCCCCGGGAACACCCAGCCTTACAACGCGCCTTATCATTTACCGCTACTTCACGGTAGTCACGGCAGGAAGCCTAGCCCGATCGTGGGAACTGCCTAATAAGCATTGATCACTCGAATTCTAATTTACCGGTGTTCTGTCCGACGCTACGAGGATCCTGGTGCTGCTTACGATAATGTGGCATATTTTCTTGGGGGTGGTGGAACCTGCCGTGGAATACCATTTGGATGGGTCGCTGCTGGGAGTAATAGAGGTGGAGGAGCAGCCTATATCAATCTGTTTCTTTGGATTACTGTACCCGAGGAGGAAGGTTTCTCTTCCAGAGAGCGTGCCGGAGACTTGAGGTCCATGGGCGAGTGAGAGAGTGTGACGTAATTGCCAGTGCGGGGACTTGATGGGTTTCCTGTTTGTCGGCGTATGATACCGGTACTAGGATATCTTCCTAACCCTGGCTCACTTTTACCATTTTATACCCGTCTACGGCTTAGTCTCAGGGCAGAGGTGACGATCCCCCTGGCCCCCACCTTCCAACTCTCCCAGAGTCTGATCGCCGAAGCAAATGAATACCATGCAAGTACAGTTACCTCTCGCTATCCCGGCCGGCCAGGCCTTGGGCAATATATCCGGCAGAGCGGGTGATCGGGGAAAACGGTTCAGGTTTTGGTGCAAAGAAATTTGGGACCCACAGAGGTTGATACGCGATACGCGACAGCTAGGGTTCCGGATGTCGAGATCCGGGATAGCGGAGGGGGGGTATAACTTCAAGCCATAAGCTTAAGCCATGTCCCGGAGAAAAAAAAGTAGGTGATCCTGGGGTTTTAATAATTACAGTCTCAGTATAATTACAGAGATTATGCTGAAGGGAAGGTGCACGGAAGACTTACCCGCCGTATGGTTGTATCTGGTTAGGCAACACGCGAACCACATGCCTCCCGTAAGATCTGGAATAATTGAGCCTGGCACTATGACGATGGAGTTGCCTCTCCTGGTAGGGTTTGGTTTTATTTTTCATTCTCATTTGTCTTAGCGGGGGACTAAGGGTCAGCTTCTTTCGGGGTGATTCCCACCCTTTGTCTAGGGAAGGGAATTCTAGACTTCTTGGGGTGAGGTTCAACAACTATTCCTGTTCTCGCGGGTAGACTAGAGTAGTCTCAAACTGAGCTAAAGCAGTTCCGCCCACTGATTTGATACCGTACACGGGACCTCGGGTTGCCGTAACTGAAATGGGTCACCTTTACCAGATTGCTACACCACCCTTCTAAACACCCCGATTCCCTTTGGAGGTCAAAGAGGAAACGCCTTGTTGAGCCACATGCCGTTTGCACCATTTTACCGCCACATAGTATCATAGGCCAAATAGTGGCACGATTTATAGAGCACTTATTAATATTCCATAATATTATACGAGTAGGGTAATCTAGCTGTGATAAAATAATCTCGGAGAGCAATCCGGGTTAAAACCGTTTGTATTTTCACAAACTCAAACTCCAAGCCGAACTCGTAATAATAACCCTCTCTTGACTGATTAGATTAGTAAACTATTATATTCCATCCTTTGTGATCCACACAGAAACTACAGCTTCCATACCAGCGATACCGGTACAGTGCTGTACAGTGCTGTACGATTCTTCGGCCCCTTGCGGCTACGCCATGGATGGCAACCTTGCACACCATCCATCCCCGAGACGAGAACCGAAAGCTCAGATACCAAATATCCGCAGACCCGAGAGCTACTTGTACTCTACATATCCGTAGACCCGAGAGCTTCACACATGTAGGGATGCTGGGATACCATTGGGGACGCGTTCGCTATCCACACGTTTCTGTTAACCTCTTCTTCGAAACACCTTGACCCGCAGCGCTCTTCCAACTGGTGGAAGAATTGTCATGTAAAATCAAGGAAAGGGAAAAAAGTTACCCAAACGCACTTTGGAAAACCGGGGATATATCGCATCGAAATCCCAGATATAGCTGGACCATCGTTATATAATGCTCGTTCATATTTGTGAGGTAGGCGCCCTGACATTCCTCTCTTTGGGAAGATATCGATACCGGTGGTATGTATGGGTGGGACGAGGTATTGTTTTCACACCTTGATGGGGAGGGAATCTTGAAAGGAGAAGATAATAATAATAGGAAATCTACTCTGTTGGCTTGATTTCCAGCCAGAAAACCCGATGCACAATCTTGCGCTGTTCAACCTCAGCTGCGCCAGACGAAATTCTGCTCACAGGAGGTACAGTACCAAGAGGTCGCGCTCGGCTTTAAGTTTAATTTGCTTTTGCTCTTGTTTTCAGCGATATTTTAAAGTGCAAGAGATACGGGAGAAAATAATATGGGTAAGGTATCCCACTTTGTGCTCTGGAACGGAACAATGATCAGAGAAAAACACCGGGCGTAAGGGCAAAGCAACCCGCCCCGATATGGATTGATGTTTTTCGGCTTCTCGCTCCACCGCTCTTATAAATCCCAGTAGCGGCGCGGCATGGGGCACAGATCATCATCCACTCGTGAGAGCACCCTTATCCCGGCCAAGGATCGGTACCCTTTTAGAATATTTGCTACAATCCCATAAAGTGGTCAAACAGGTTCCGGGGACGCGAGTAGCGGTGGCAGTTCAGAATTAATCTTACACTCCCCTAAATATCGACTAGTGGTAAGTTCAAGCTGACTCTGCAAGGGCAGTCAATGTTTACCAATACTCCCCCACAACACGCGTGGGGGTGGGAGTGGGGGTGGGGGGAAGGTGGGTTTCTACC